GGCTTGGCGAGACGTGGGGATGGAGTGGAGCAGCAGTGGTAAGATCTTCACTCTGCGTCCGTGGTTGGCTCTGGATCCCTAGCGAATATTCAAGCTTGGTGGATCCAGGGCCTAGATCGTGGATCTGGCCATAGGGTTGCCTTGCGGGTGTGTTCCCTTGCCTCTGATTTCCTTTGCGTCGTACTTGCCGCCTCCTGTAGCGGGAGCTTGCGAGTTGAGAGCTTCTTAGGTATACCCGGCCAAGTAGTATATCCAGTTAACCCTTCGGATCTTAACGTGTAAAGGAAAGCTCACTAGGTTGTAGGATCTGGCCAATGTATTATCCAGTTATCACTACCAACACTAGATTCGCAATTTCCAACCTTCACCGATCTCGTACGGCCCATGTAGTTCCGATTCTTGAGGGGAGGAAGACACTTGCGTGATACTGTGCAAATTGAGGTCTGTATTGATACATATGCCTATACCTGCCTGGATTTCTACCTTCTATGTCTTTTACCTGCTAAATCCCTTACCAGGCTCTGCTGCATGTCCTTTTTCTTCTTGGTCCATCATTCCAGCTGTATTATCCTCAGATCCACCGGATCCATCGCGTAATCATTATGGTCACCCTATTATGGGTACACTCATCCGGATCCAGGTTGCTTGGATCCACTTCACTGTAAGTGTACACTAGCATGGATCCGAGCTCTCCAATCATCCAACATCATCTTGCAACCGTCTGTGATCTCCATTGTCCCACGAAAGTTCGAGATCCACCGCATCCATCATCCCTATACCCTGGATCCAGGTCCCTCTATGTGGGATCCTACCTTCTTGGATCCGAACTCGGAAGTATGGGATCTGGAACACCTCGCGGTGGATTTTGCCTTCTCGTTAGTCGTGGCTACTAGATCCACCTTCAGATGACACCTACCACCATTCCTTCATAGGATCCACACTCGATCCACCGTTACATAGTATATCCCATATCCACCTAAGTGAACCCAGGTAAGGGTGTATCCGAGATATGTCTTGGTGGATCTTGCCTTCTCGTACATCACTCATACCAGATCCATCGTCGTCTCATACGGGGTGCTGCTCGTCGTGACTAATCCACCTCAGTCAACTTGCATCCGCGCCGGACGATCCAACCCCCTCTAACCACTTGAAATTGTCACTGATTCGGGGTAGTGACCCCGCGTTAGGTCCATTCTCTTATTTTTAAGAAAGCACTTCACCACAAAAATGTCTCCATAGATGATAACGCAAAAGTTGATCGCTGATGTTATATTTTATTACAACGATACTTTTCATTGATCTATCCAAGCGAGACGAGAGGTAAAGGCATAGCGTCTGAGCTAGCTCATAACAGAGAAACAGCTGAAAGAATCGACAACGAGTTAGAGATAGGTCTGAGCGTTCTTTATCGACTTGTGAAGCAAAAATGGTAAAGAAGCTGTGCGGTGGAGCAAATATGTGTACACTATTGTTTGCATTGATGGCTATCGTGTTCAAATCAGATCTAAGAACGGTCACTCGCTGTACAAAGCTCCAAATGATATCAAAATCGTACAAGCTCAAATAACAGATGCCACAATCGGCGGAGGCGATATTTTCGAAGTGAAGCGAATCTTAGACCACAAGAAACTATCAAATGGGAAATATAAGTATTGGATCAGCAGTATGTATACGTATACGGATATCAATCCGAGCATTCAAACCGCACTGGTGAATGCCGGGGCCTATCTAGTTGATACATAGGGAAACAATGTGTTTTATATTCAGCTGACTGAGAATGGTGTCTACTATGCTGCTCAGTTCGATTTTAGTGCAACATCGACAAGTCTACCAGCGGGTTACGTCCGACCTGCTACTGGCTTATACAGCTCCAGTGATACACGTCTACCTACTGCAACCGTGTGCCACACTGATAATTGATAACCCCGCATTTGGAAAGGTAATTGGCTTTACAGCTGGAACGTATACATCTACCTTTTCTACCGTTTCGAGTGCTCAGCTATCAAATATCATTCCTCAAATCCATCCGACATCGTCGTATATCGTGAGATGTGATCTCATCAAAAATGACTACGTAGCTTCTGGTGATATCCTAAGCGCATTTGACAGAGGCGATGCTGCTGTTGGACAGTTAATATCGTACAAGCCAAGTCAGTATGCTTGAATGAACTGCTACAATGGATCAAGGTTATCAACAACGATCACGATTAATAACAGGAATGATCTGAGAGTCAAGTTTCGCGATAGCTCCGTGAGTATTATGCTTTTGCTACGAGCAAAAAATAAGACGTTTTGGTTTTTTATTTACAAGCGAAAACTGCCAGTAAGCTTTCGTTTAGAGCGCACTACAGCCATTTTAGCCTTTGCTTCGTCGGAGCCTTTAACATCGACTCCGTATCAACGACGCACCTCGCCACGAAGCGATTAGATCAGTTTCTCATGCTCTGGTTTTGTTTCTTTTGAAAGTAGGTAACGCTCGCCAGCATCGACTCCATCTGTTAATACACATTTTCGTTTAGCATAAGAGAGGGCATTCTTTGCAGCCTTCTTTACGTCTGCTACGGAAAGGCGGTCTCCAGCTTTATCCTCATCGCTAACTATATGTCTACTCCCGTAGTGATTTGAGAGCCGCACGAGCAGGAATGCCTGCTTGAGGGGTCACGAATGCTGTCGCTATCGCAGGTAACGCGAAGTCGACTGCTTTGCATAGAACTTCGTTATCTTTGAGAAAGCTGAATGCCGATTTTAGACCGGATTTGATTAAAGACCAGCATGATCCGCCTTGAGCTCGCTTGCATCCTTTTTGATCTCGTGACGGGTGATATCGAGTCTAGCACCACGACCTGCGTTGCGAGCCTTGATTGCCTCATCATAGGAAGTTGGATGAAGATGAACAATCGCTCCGCTACCTTTGAGCTCATTGGCGGTAAGTAGGATATTACCCGTGTTAGAGCTCGGGTTAGCTTGGGTGCTGGAACAACGCTTGAAATCGTAAGTTCACGGTACATGCTTACAAGACTTGTCTATATTCGTATGATTCAAATTGTATGTTAGAACTGTAAAATTCATATCGCGCATGTTTTTGAATAAAGTGGGCTGATTCTTCTACTTTGAGTTTAACCAAAGGAGGCAGAATGGTCCACAATAATCATTATACGTAGCTTATTATTGTTTGGTGTTGAATTTAGAGATTCCATACTTTGTTGGAGGGCCTTCGCCCATACTATCATAATATTCATTGTCATGGACTGCCGTCCAATGCCCGATCTCAAGATTAGGAGGTCTTAGTAGAATTATAAACGATTCCTTTTTAGTAAGCGGGTTGGTTATTTCAGATGATTCCTAGATGTTATCGAGATGAACACCGATTGTCTTAGCGATTGTGATCGCTCGTAATACCCTTAACAAGCTCTACCATATTATTTTATTTAGAAAGCTATATGTTTACGGAAATAGATTCAATCATGTCTGAAACCCAGCTATCAGACCAGTACTTTACCGGAGCTCGCTGAAGAGCGATCCTGATATCCGAGTATCGCCAGGTAAAAGCGCTCTATTTGTGATCGATTTGAATCAAGGATCGTATCAAAATGGCGTCATTGCCATCGATGCTACGGCTCAGCTGAATGGAAGCGAAGGATTTGCTTCACTACGTGATGCTTATATCATGCTTCCATACAACGTATCGATGCGGAACGGTGATACTGCCCATACAGCTGCGGCCAATCGTTTCTGCGCGACTCTGAAATGTGGTAATTGGAATGTTATTGATTCGATGAGTTTGGAGCTCAACGGTAAGACGATTGTGTCCATGGCTGGCTACTGACTCTTCTAGAAAAATGTGGTGTAGCGGGATTAGCAAAATCTGCGAGATTGCTGGATCCAACTTACCAACAGCGCCCAGACACCGACTAACGGAGGGGGTCCGTGATCTGCTGAATTTTCCTCGCCTTGTGGACCCGTCGGTAGGGTGGGATCTTGCTCTCTCGGTAACTTCCGAAGAGTTCAAGTGGTGAAGCTTGAGCGTCTTGGCGAGATGTGGGGATGGGGTGGAGCAGTAGTGGTAATATCTTCACTCTGCGTCCGTAGTTGTTTCTGGATCCCAAGCGAATATTCGAGCTTGGTGGATCGAGGGCCTAGATCTGGGATCTGGCTGTAGGGTTGCCTTGCAGGTGTGTTCCCTTGCCTTTGCGTTTCCTTTGTGTCGTACTTGCCGCCTGCCGTGACGAGATCTTGAGAGTTAAGAGCTTCTTAGGTATACCCGGCCAAGTAGTAAATCCAGTTAACCCTTCGGATCTTAACGTGTAAAGGAAAGCTCACTAGGTTGTAGGATCTGGCCAATGTATTATCCAGTTATCACTACCAACACTAGATTCGCAATTTCCAACCTTCACCGATCTCGTACGGCCCATGTAGTTCCGATTCTTGAGGGGAGGAAGACACTTGCGTGATACTGTGCAAATTGAGGTCTGTATTGATACATATGCCTATACCTGCCTGGATTTCTACCTTCTATGTCTTTTACCTGCTAAATCCCTTACCAGGCTCTGCTGCATGTCCTTTTTCTTCTTGGTCCATCATTCCAGCTGTATTAGCATCAGATCCACCAGATCCATGGCGTAATCATAATGATGTCGCCATATTATGGGTACACTCATCTGGATCCAGGTTGCTTGGATCCACCTCACTGCAAGTGTACACCCATCATGGATCTGAGCTCTCCAATCTTTCAACATCGTCTTACGACTGTCTGCGGTCTCCATCACTCCACGAAAGTTCGAGATCCGTTGCATCCACCGTCCCCATATCCTGGATCCAGGTCACTCAGTGTGGGATCCTCAATCCTTTGGATCCGGACTTGGCAAAGTGGGATCTGAGACATATAGTGGTGGATCTTGCCTTATCGTTTGTCGCTGATACCAGATCCACCTCCAGATGACCTCTACCATATTTCATCCATAGGATCCCCACTCTATCCACCCGCACATGGTGTATCCCATATCCCCTAGGTATAATCGGGTGAGGTGGATCCGAGTGGATCCTGTTTTCCCATACGTTATCCATGCCGGATCCATCGCCGAGCCATATAGGATGCCACTTTACCTTGGCCCAATTCACTTCGAGCAGCGCGGATCCATGCCGGGTAATCCAGATCCCCCCTGTTGTCACTTACCTGGGATAGTGACTCCTTGTCGGATCCAGTCTCTTATTTCTGAGAAAGCACTTCACCACAATAATATTCGAGCTCAGACATCATATAGTCCTCAATACGTTGAGAAGCATGGTGCGGAGTCTTTCCTCTGCCCAGATGCTGCTCAGTCGATTATATACAGCTCGGGAACGAACTCCCTTACAGGCGACGGCTACACTAATACCAGTGCATTCTCATCTTCATTTGAAACGAGTGCAGCGGCTGGCGGTGCATCTATCGTCAATGATGGGTTCGGCAAACGTCTTCTATACAACCCTCCTAACGCGGGAACTGATTTATTTAGCTCTTGGCCATCGCTCGGTTCAGCTGCTGCATCTACAACGATCGCTAATCAAACCGCACGCGGTGCTTTCGTTGCTGGCGCAGGGACATCTAAAGCGATTATGGGTACTTGGAATTATATGCTCAAGATTAAGCTTGTTGACCTGCATCCAATTTTCAAAGAATTAGATCTCATGGCTAACCCTCGAATCCGTCTGCGCTTCCGTGTAAACCAAGGTGTTTCTTCGGTTGCTGTAGATGCTACGAAGAGTATTTCGTTAGCATATACTACTCTCTCGTCAGGTAATAGATGTCTGGTAATGGTTGCTGCGTCCTCAACCAGTAATTCAATGGCTGGAGTTCTTGCTGCTTCAGCTCCGTTCAGTATCGCATGGGGAGCGGTTGTAACCTCGCTGGAGCCAACTATTGATGGGACTTATATGCCTTTTACAACGAGTCGCCTCTATGTGCCGTTTACGCAATGAGAGAATCATCAAGCTATTTTCTCGAAGCCCGTGAAGAAGGTTCGTTTCAACGATTGCTATGCTGAGCTTTTTTATCAATGCGCTTGCATCGGTAAGCAGTCAACTCAACTTAATGCATCCTTCGACCTACAGATATCGGCTAGTGTTAAGAACACCAAATACGTCATTGTACTACCATTTGCCGATCAGACTAATAGTCTCAACTCAGCGGCTGTGCAAGAGTTTCAGAGTCCGTTCGATAGCGCTCCGTGAACTTTACATCCTGGCTCATCGATCAGAAAATTTCATGTTCGAATCGGCTCTACTTAGAGCTTTGATATTAGTCATGACTACGACTTTTATTAGTTCTCCAACGAGGTCTCCAAAATTAGCGCTATATATTGTGGTCTGACTCCTGAGCTTGTAAATGGCTTGCTTGATTACCAGACGTGGTCGTTGACTAATCGCGTCCTCATTGCCGATGTAGGCAGACTATCGGAGCGTGATGTCCCTCAGAGCATCCAAATCCAACGCGTTAACGCTGACTGTCAAGGCATTAACATGATATTCCACGTGATCAGCGAACAGGAGCTGAGCTATGATCGTCTAACAGGAGAGGTTTTAGAATTCACAACTGCTTATTTATATTTAATTATACATTTGATTTAATATTCTGTATTGGTTTATTGATACCATTTCCACAAAGCTCTGTTTTGGCAACCACAGAGGTTCAACCATCCGAGAGGTATTCCTTAAGGATCCAGGCTGCTGTCGATGGCTCCGTTCTCAGGATATGTTATCTGGTGCTCCTGACTCTGATATTGCACATTTTTTTTGAGTAAATTTGGTAATGAATCCAACGATGGATCGTATTTGCTAAATTTTGGAAAATATAATTGACTGTTGACTTTGTGAATAACGCCGTGCAAAGGTGTAGAAACTACTGATATAAAGCCTCCTCGATCTAGTCTCGCGTATAAGACGTGCTATAGACTTTAAGAAGGATCTATGAGTCAATTAAGCAGGTGTTTACACTTTATAAGGAATATTTACACTGGCTTCGATCGTGTAAATTTTCTAACGAAAAGGCTCCGAAGCTATGTGCTGCTTTTAATGAATTACTTGAGAGCTAAGTAGTTTATGTAACATGGTCAACTCATTAGTTTTTGTATACTCATAAAGTTAGACATTCTCATGATGCGTTATTATAAGATATGTAGGGCGGTGAAAAAAAAGATCATATAACCAGTATATGGTAACTGGTCTAGAGCGATTCTTCCGGTCTATTTCTTATGATATTTCTTTTGCTTTTGTTTTTCTTTGATTTGGTCTCTATGCTGATCATCATAAGACTTCTGGCGAGCAAGAATTTTTTCTCGATTTTTCAGATAGTAGCGATGTTTAGATGTAGTAGCCTTATTGGTTTGGTACTTTTCTGGTGAGTATTGTGACGGGGTCACACAGCACCTTGCGCTAGAGGAAGTTAGCTTCCGAGAGTATACAAACTCTCCGTGAACGGCAGCTCTCTTTATTCAAAAGAGAGCGAAGTGACCTAATTAAGGTAGAATGTAAACTGAGTATATTTATAGGTAGATAAAGCTTGGGTTTAATACAAACTATAAGTCACCTATAGAAATGCAATGTCATCAACCAATGGTTGGCTTTGGACGACCTTGGTACTATGTACCAAATATCCCGAAGTATGACGTGTCACACTTCATGTAACCAGGGTACACTTAGGGCTACGTACCCCGTTACATCCTCCCCCACTTAGGTTCGGTTTACTGACCAATCAGAATGAAGAGGTGTTCGTCACAAACTTTCATTCTCAAAATCGAAAATCATCGACTTGGCCGCACGAGCGCGGCGGAGGCTCACTTCACAGTTAGAGCCTCGAGCAGCAGTATGTGTGCTCTTCTTCCAGGTCTTCCACTTCGACCGTAACCATGCCTCGTGGCACTGCTAAGAGCGGTGCGAAGACACGCTTCAAGGCTGCTACCGGAAAGGCGCAAGCCAAGAGCACTTAGCCTCACGGCAAAGGCTCGGCACTTAAGGAGGCTACTCAGGTGGCCTCCGAGGCGATCGGCTCATCGGGCGACAAGGTTGTGGGCAAGTGAGCCAGCAAGCGCCGCAGCCCGTCGCCCTCGGCCTCTCCAGACAGTCGTCCGAGCCCTCGGTTCGTAGAACGTGAGCTCGACTCTGGCAGTGAGGACGAAGCCGAGTCCGAGAGTACGCACGATGCTCCTGCGGGTTCTGCGGGAGGGCACAGCCCAGTGCCCAGCGAGCACAAGGATGACAGCGTGCAGTCGCTTGCTAGTGATCAGGGTGATCACAGTCCCAGGACGTCTGTGCGCTCTGAGAGTCCGGCCGTCAAGGCTAAGGGCACTCCCAAAGCTGGTGGCGATGAGGAAGAGAATCCTTGCAAAGGTCTATCGCTTGCCGAGGGCCCTTGCGCGTGCTAAGGCCTCTAAAGCCGAAGGTGCCAAGCCCTCAAAGAAGCGTACAGCCTCTAAGTCTTCACTCCGCGAGGAGAAGGAGACTCGGCACTCCCATCGGGGCCTCTTCGACTCCTCGGATGAAGAGGAGGAGAAGGAGGAAGAAGAGGAGGAGAAGGGTACTATCTCTGAGCCCCGGGAGGTCACGAATGACCTCGACCAGCAGCAGGAGGAATTCCAAGCTGCCCAGCGTGTGCGTGGGGCTCGGTGGTGGCACCCGTCAGCCAGGGAGCTGCCATCAACTCAAGAGGGTATTGGCCTATAGGAGCGATCTGGGGCTGACCTCTTCTTAGAGCTTCTCGTCGCTCCTCGTGGCCTTGTGGGCGGACACACTTCTAGTGGCATTTACGAACGTGCCCTTGTTCAGAAGGAACAGTTGTTCGCTGAAAACTTGGAGGCTGCTCGGTGTGTGCTTCTCGCGCCACACCGCATCCCCCTTAAGGACTTCACGACTTGTCGTAAGAAGCCCGAGACCCGGGGTGGTCTCAACCCTCTTTGGGGATACCCCTGGGTTATGCCCGAGAACTGTCCCACCTGGGGTTCTTGTGAGGACATGTTCTGGGCATGGGTAGAGTCTCTCAAGTACTCACCCACGGAGTTACGGGAACTCCATGAAGATGTGGTGTAGTGATTTCTCCGTGGTTGCGGATTATCACCCGTCGACAAAGACGTGACACCGCCCAAGTTGTTCAAGCGACGAACCCTCGGTCGGGTGATGTACGGAGACGCCAAGGTGCAAGGGACTCGACGGCGTCACCTCCGAGTTTTCAACAAGTATCGGATACGGCCCTATGTCACTGAATCCAGGCTGTCCTTATTATTAATAATGGACTGGCCGGATTTGCATTCAGCGGACCATCTACGGTACAAACCCTCAGTGGCGGTTGGGATGAGTTCGCGGAAGACTCCGCGACCCTTTGAAGGCACATTCACCGCCTGGAACAGGGCGCGAGCTGTTAAAGATGCTGCAGACGACGCTTGGCATGCAAGAAGATCCATAACGGATCATTGTTCATTTTGATATTTGTATACTTGATTAGGACTTCTTATTAGGAATAGACCCGAAAGGGTAAGCTTAAATACAGAACAGAATTTCCACTCAAGCACACAGAGCGACGTCCGGCTTCAAGGTAAGCGTCAGGTCAAGCTTGTTTGAGTGTGTTATGCCTGTCGGTGAACTCGAAGCTCTGTAGCGAGGGTTCATCCGGCAAGGCCAAGAGACTTTGTGTATTGGCCGATTATTATCGGGAGGTTTTACGTGACGGCTTATTGTTGCCTATTTGCACGACTGGGAGTGCTTGAATTGCCTCCCTTTTATTTCTTCCAGCCGAGTGTTGAACACTCGGTGATCTCGTAAAAGGCTTACCCGTGCCTGGTACCCTTCCGCTGTTGGGACCACGAGGATTCAAAACACCTGCTAGCTTTGCTCGTGCTAGTAGCGTGTTCTTATTTTACTGGTTGGCCTATATAAGTAGTTTACAAGGTCCAGTTTGTCCCGGTGCAAGGGCAGAACTGGGGTCTTCAGGTCCGCCCGAACGATCGTTTACTATCCTAGTAGACGTATTGTTGTGGGAACATCCTAACTACATTTGTAGCTAGAGTTCACGTGGGATTTCCAACACCACAACTGGTGCCGCGACCCGGGAACAGATTGTGACCATTGTGAACTGTTTGTATGGCCTTCCAGTTTACGAGCTACCAAGAGAAGAAGAACAAGAAAAAGACAAGAAACATGGCGAAAGGACAACCGACGGTACCAGTTACGCCTGCCAAGTCTGGCGGGGCTCGCAACGAGAGTTCAAGCCCGGCTGCGCGCTTTGCAGCCGCCACCGAGCTTTCAGTGAGCTTCGACGACGAAGCGGACATCGGTCCTGACGCCCACGATTATGAAGATTACGAAGATAAGACGCCGGCTCCAGAGCCAGGCGCAGCGACGCCGGAGACGGCCACGCTATCATCGGGGCTGAGCGGGGCGACTAAGTCCCTTTCGAGGAACCTCGCCGACGAGCTCGATGATGTAGCGGGACCGGAACCGGCCTATGATGGTTATGACGATGGGACCGAGGGTTTTAAACCTTCGGTGGCGAGTGCAAAGCATTCAGCACTGCTGAAGGCACCTCGTTCACCTATCAACGGTGATACACCAGCCGCCAAGCGCGTTTTCGACCGCGTACAAGCGCTGATGCAGAATGATGAGTGGATGCAGCTGTTCAAGCCCATCCCCAAGAAAAAGGCCGACTGGCCTGCGCTTGCGCAGGAACTTCAATACCCAGTCAACTCGGTTTCGACTAGTCAAGTTGCCGAGGATTCAGTTTTGCTACTGTTGTCGCTGGGGTTCGAGAACGAGACGTACCCATCGACGATGTCGCTCCAGGATTGGAGTCCACATGAAGCCGGAGCTGCTCTCCAGAAATGGAAGAAGAAGCTTCGGAAGGCGTTTGGCGCTGTTGGCATCAATGCCGGAAAGCAGCCTGTGAGTCGACCGATGATTCAAGATGAAGATCCGTCTAAGATTCCACTGCCGCCGACGCCCCAACGACTCGTTCGTACTCCTCCGACCAAGCGTGGAGCTGAGCGTGGTGCCTTTGGCACTACCGAAGCTTCACCGTACTTTCAAGACTCGCACATGGTTACGCCACGTTCGGAGAGCCGTATGCAACGCATTTACGCAAGTAACGAGAGTTCGTTCGGTCGCCGAGGCGGTGCGCGAGCCCCCAAAGGTGGTGCCGGACGTCGTCAAGTCGACAGCGATGGTTCGTCCAGTGACGATGACATTTTGGTGCGTACATTCGACGAGGAAGATCCTCAACTCGAGTTGATGCGTCAGATGAATGAGCTAGCGATGCTGAACGACGTAGACCCGACACCGAGGATTGAAATGGCTTCGCACCGACCGCTGGATCGCATCACGCCGTTCTCAGGCTCTCGCAACAAGAGCGAGAACTGTATGCAGTGGCTCCGTGGGTTCGTCTATGAAATGACTGGAACCCACACAGATGCCGATAAATGGTGCATTCCATTTGAGCTAAGTCTCCGGGACGGAGCCATTCATTGGTTCCGTCAACTTCCGAAGAAGACGAAGCGCAAGTGGAAGCTGTTGAGCGATGCGTTCATCCGCTACTACTGCTCGCAGTTCACGCAGACGGCACTGTCGCGTTACTACTCCGCCAAGCG